TGCTGTATTGCCCTTCCAGCAGATGTCAGGGTGATTGAAATTCCCCATGAGAATCAGGGCCTGTGATTGGGAAACTTCTTCTGTTTTGATGAAAGCCTCATCCTCCTGGAGGAAAAGTTTTTACTTTCTTCTTGGGTTAGAAGGAAGATGACTACTTATGTTTCAGTCCAAGTTGAGCCTATTTTTATATGTGAAGTGCTGTGAATTCTTTGTGGCTGCCATCTGTGGCTTTTGATCTCTGCAAAGCCAAAAGCAAAAACTTGCTTGCAGATCCTGATCTGAGTTGGGATTTTAGAACAAAACCTAATGAAACTTCCTGGTTTTTAGAAACTTTCAGTGACTTGTGTCAGATCTTGTGGGATGCACTGCTTATGTTTGAACTGCTAATGAGTGCAGATCTCATTGTCTGGGGCTACTAGCATATACAGAATGGTTTAAGTTCTGTCCTATTTACAATCCATTTTAAGGCAGAGGTGAAACCTGTTTATCTTGTGGTCTTGTAAAGCTTTCAGTTCTCTCTGTTGGGCAAGCTGCTCCTAATTATATCCTGTTTCTCCTTGACAGCAGTGGATTGCAGAACCATTGCCCTTGATTACATCATGCAGGCTTGTTGTCTTCATTGCACAGCTAGATTTGCGGTCTTCTGTTTCCAGCACAGCCCTCTTTAAAAACTAAACTCTTGCCTTTTTTTCTCCACTATCCTGGCTCCCAGGATGGATTTTTTAGAACTAGATCAGGGTTTGTCAAGCATTAAGGGGGCTGTGAAAGGGTTGTGTGCATGTTACTTATCTGCCTGCTCTTTCAGGCTGAATGGAGCATTGAGCACACTGCTCCTCCAAGCACCTGGCCTCACGAAGGGAAAGTGGAATTCAGAGGCTATGGTTTACGTTACCGGAAGGACTTGGACTTAGTTCTGAAAAATATAAATGTTACCATAAATGGAGGTGAGAAGGTAAGCACCACATCTGCTATTTTATACAAGCACTTAATTTTACAAGCTGGTGTATATGCATAGTGACATCACATTAGGCTGATGCAGGAATTTTGAGCCCTGGGGCTGTCAGCATTGATAGATAGATAGAGCTTCTGCTACTGGGGTTGCAAGAATGCATTCTTTAGTTGGCAGCTATAATGGGTTCTAATCTTATAAAGACTTACAGCCAGAGGGAGATAGGGGTGCTGTCTGTATACTAAACCTTTTTTCCCTGCCTGAGCTCATGATGTTTCTCTGTACAAACACAAACTGCAATATTACAGACTTGAACTAATTACCTTGTTTAATAGACATAAGCAAAACAATACAGTAAAACTTGTGTGCGCTAGAAAAACGAGACTTGGGTGTGATATTTAATAGTTCTCATCTGTAACACATTAATGACTTACACTTGCAGTTACACAGGTTAGCATATTTTTCGTTTTACTTTCAAATAAACAAGTCCATTCTAAAGTAATACCTGCCATAGAAATAGAAAAAATGGGAAATTTCCGTATTTGATTAGCAAGTGTAACACATGATTAAGTGCTGTGTGAAATACGGATATATCCTAAATTCAAACAATAAAAACATCAAATGTATCATTTCAAAATTGGGGCTGTGGAACACCATTCTAAAAAGTACAAGTTTGAACTGCCTTAACATTTCTACCACATGCATTCACCACACTTGCATTTTCCTCTAGTGAAATCAAACAGGTCTTCTACATGGCATTGAATTTTAGTGTGCTATTGGAAGAATCTCCATTTGCAAAGACTTCCTCTGTACCTTCTGGCTGCTGATACTAACAACTCTTTTTTTCCCTTAAGTTGTTTTGTATTAAATCGTTCTGAAAATGCATCTGCTGTAAGAGACTCCTGTTAGTACTTTCACTTTGGGGGAAAAGCTGAATTCCATTGGTAACTTCCATATGTGTGTTTTCCAACAGGTAGGAATAGTTGGAAGAACAGGAGCTGGGAAATCCTCTCTCACTTTAGGCTTATTTCGAATCAATGAATCAGATGAAGGACAAATCATTATTGATGGAGTTGACATTGCAAAAATAGGGCTCCACAATTTGCGGTTCAAGATCACTATTATTCCTCAGGTAGGTCTGATGTTCTTGTCAGTATTGCAAGTACTTTTTTTAAAATACTGTTGCTTTAACAAACTGGATTTTTGTACTAATACCCTTCTTAGGCCCTGATCCAAAGCACAGTGAAGTTAGTGGGAACTTTTCTATTCCCTTTAATTGATTTTTGAATCAGGCTTTTGTATGTCTTTATTTTACTTGTATCCCTTCGGTCACCTACAAACTGTGCCATTTTCCTTGCCATTTGGATAACATCTTTCAGGACTACTTGCCATAGTCTTTTTTTTATGCAGAATCGTTGATCCTGTGCCATTTTCCTATATAGGATCCTGTCTTGTTTTCTGGTTCTTTGCGTATGAATCTTGATCCTTTTGACCAATACTCTGATGAAGAAGTTTGGACATCTTTAGAACTGGCTCACTTGAAAAATTTTGTATCATCTCTTCCTGATAAACTTAATCACGAGTGCTCTGAAGGTGGAGAAAATCTAAGGTATAGTAAAATTACCTTTTTTCATGTCTAAAAGCAACACTTTTTAACATTTGAGAAGGGTGTATATGTGTGTTCTTTCTGTTTTGTTCAAATGCTGGATTTAGTATATTACTTCCCCAATAAAAGGAGATTCCTGTCCCAAAGACCCTATGTTCTGTTTAAACATCTACATAGTTGACATGCAGCGTGACTAACGATAAAGAATTTTTCTTCATTGTGTAAGACCTGAAATATTTGTGTTGGGGAAGTTTTAATTAAAAAACAGACAGGACATAATTGGTTTTTTTCCTGCAAGTATGGTAAAGTTCAAGTTTTACATGTATTTTTAAGGCTAGTATTTATTGGCTAGAGCATCCTTAGGCACATTTTAGACTCTTATCTGTTGTAGTTGTTCACAATTTGTTTTATTGAACAAATGCAGTTCTCTTATTGCGTTATAAGACTGTTATTGTGCCATATTAATTGTAAGTAACAGCATTCAACATGCTGGTTGCAAACTGCCTCCAGACCAGTGCAGATACAGAACGGTGGACTTCATCACAATTTGTACTGGCTAAAACATCATTAAAGCTTAATTGCTGTGTAGGAGCTATAATAAGAATTCCTCAGGTGTGGCTCTTGCTTCTTTTTTACACTGAGGTAGTACCAGACTGGAATTTCGGCATCTGAAACAGAGAAGAGATTTTACAGGCAACAAGGTATGAAGCTAAAGGCTCTGAGTTGTTTCTGAAAATAGTATTTTTTTTTTTTTCTGTTTTCACAAAGTGTTGGACAGCGTCAGTTGGTGTGCCTTGCTCGAGCTCTGCTTAGAAAGTCCAAAATTCTGGTTCTAGATGAAGCCACGGCAGCGGTTGATCTTGAAACTGATGATCTTATACAGTCAACAATAAGGACTCAATTTGAAGGATGCACTGTTTTGACTATAGCACATCGTTTAAACACTATTATGGACTATACAAGGTAAAGAAATGTGTCTGCTGAAGAAGAATAGCACATGCTGCCTCTATCTTGTTTATGTTGCATACAAAGCTGTTAACCCACATGAATGGTGGTCCAACTTTTAAATAACTTTCTCCTATTCTTTGCTAGGACTGCACTCAGACAAAATTCACAGGTTCCCTCCAGCTTCCACTGTTTCAAATCAAAGGATTCTGAGGGTTGAGTTATGCCCTTGGCCATAGTTAAGTAACTCCATTGTCCATAGCAAACTTGCCAGGAGTGGATGAGAGCAGAGTTGGATCAGGTCATCTTCTCCATTCTGTCACTGACTGGTAAAGGTCAGCACTTGACAGTTTTCCAAAAAGTGGTTTCTTGCTTTCTCTCCATAATTCCCTTCACAGGAATGGGGAGCTACACCATAATGGAAAAACAGCCTTTTATCTGTATCAGACCTGCAGAAATTGTCTTTCTAGATTACACTCAGAACTAGTTTAGGCTCACCAGCTGTTTGGAGAGAAGGAGCACCAAAGCTGTGGGCCTTGAGCAGTAGCCCTCAGCTCGGGTGACCTGAAGGGTAGCTAGCTGCAAGGAAATGTTTAACCAGGTACTCTGGTTTTCTTACTTTTGTCCTATTTTTATTACCTCTCCACTACAGTAAGTTTCTTGGCCTAGTCTGTTGAAGCGGAATAACTCTGTGCATCTGAAATGAGATCAGTGAGGTACAGGACATAATCTCTGCTCATCTTTAAAATCCTTTCATATCCCTAGAAGTTTGTTTTGTTAGATGTGAGCTGCTTTGTAAGATCCCTTGTGTGTATTCACTAGAATGTTATGGTAAAGTGTATTCTAACTTGCTTTTTTCCCCTTCCCTGTTTTAGAGTTATAGTCCTTGATAAAGGTGAAGTTGTGGAGTGTGATTCACCAGCCAATCTACTGCAGAAGAAAGGCATTTTCTATAGTATGGCCAAAGATTCTGGTTTGGTGTGATAAAGAGCTTGTCTGGTATGGGGAAGGGCAGTGGAGACTGACATCTTGAACTGTAACTTGCATTATACAGTTACTCAAACCAAAACCCAGACCCAGAAAACTCAGTGACCATGAAGATGGAAGTAACGTTAAAAATGCAATGTGTTCTTTTTTTTCCCTTCAGATTTGATTTTGCAAATATACTCCAGTAAAAGGCTACAGTACTGAGCTATAGACCAAACTTCATAGACTTTTTTTATCTTTTGCCTCAAATTGTCAAACGGCAGTGAAAAATATATTTACATGACTCCCATAGAAGCAGGGGAATTCCTTCTTTTTTTTTTTTTGACTTGTGCTCTTATATTCTGCAGCCCTTTTGTTTAAAGGCCTAGCTGCTTGCTCAGTTGATTACTTACCAGTTTTAAGAACCATTTGTTGCAGGATGCACCCGGGATGTGTTTTG